AGATTTTACAAAAACCACAAGGACAACAACTGGATTTTTATTTATAGGTTAATCGGCTGAATCTCAAAGATCATTTTCGTATTAGAAAATGATGCCCACAGAAAAAATTTTTTATATCAGAAAAATTTTATCGGTTATCAATAGCCGATTAACCGTTTAGGGATAAAATAATGGGTATAATGGGTATCAAAACAACAATAGTGACGATGGTTATATTTTTTGATAGTTGTAAAAAGAGATTAGATGAAATAATTAGAAAAAGAAGACAACGACAATGATGATAGTAGTATTTTGATAGTTGTCACAAAAAATTTTGACTGTATATTTAATACATAATAAAATTGACAGAATATAATACTACAACCAAGCGACCTTTTACTCTCGGGTCCAATTAACTTTTAAGTTATAAAGGAAAATAATAGAAATTTATATGCTAAACTCGAGAAATGCCAAATTTGTAGCTGTTTTGGTTTTCTGTTTTCCAGCGCGATTAATTTACGGAACAAATCATCAAATATTAGGTTTTATTTGTTATTTATTTAAAATATTAGCAAACAATGGCTGTCAAAAGATCACTCACTGCGTGACGAAGCATTGTGACGGAAAATATGATTGGGCAAAATAGGAAAGGATGTGCTTAATAGGCTAATACAAAATTCATATGATTGATCAGCAATTCTCTCTCAGAATTTATAAAAAAAAAATGACGACAAGGATAATAATTATGGTAATGGAGGACTAAATGACATCCAGTAAGGTGATTATGTTACTATACGTTTTAGCACATTTAATTACTCTGTCCTGTTCATCTCGATCTCGTTCTCTATGGATGATAAATTATTTAGAAATCGTACGCGGATGTGATTGATTAGTTAAAAATAAATACTATCTGATGTAGATAATGGCTTTTAATTGCATTATTAATTATTTTGCATAGGAAAAAGATGTTACATTTTTAAAATAAATAATTATCGAAACATCTTACTATTACTATGTACTTGACTGTAAATCGACACTCACGTGATTTATTATCAATTCCTGATGAATCTCACTTATATGTATATATGCATGTATATATGTATATGAAACATTTATATTACATAAATATTAATTCTAAACACAAAACAATAAATTTGTTTCAAAAAAACAAATTTAATTGATTCAGATCAAAAAGAAGATTTTTTATTGGACAGTGGACATTTCAAGAAGAAGGGATTTTATTTTATTGTTTCCTTTTGAAATAATTTTATTTATTATTGGATGATTAAACTTTATTTTCTATCAAATTATAAATAAATAAATAAGTGCACAACATTCGTCAATTTAATTAATATTCATTCATTTCGTCATTGTATATTAATATAAATAGAGTAAAAGAATTAATTAAAACTTTTTTAGTCTTACGAAAAAAATTTCCTTTTTATTTTTTCAATGTGCTTTAAAATTAAAGAGTTGAAATAAATATATAATTATTTACTCTTTATTTTCAGCACGCCAAATATTCATTCCTTTATTTTTTCCTTTTTTTTAATTAAAAAAAAAAAAGTTTAAAACCTTTTATTTGGTTTTTAAATTTTTTTTTTTTTTTTTATCCTTTAGTTTGGCCTGCTGTGCTAGCCTACAATTTCAGGGGATCAAATAATTCTTTACAAGTTTCATAATTTTTTTTTTTCCCTTCCTATAATATTTACGTAAATTTTATTGTTTAGCCTTTATTACTATTATCAGTAATTTCAACGTTTCCCCTCACGTACAATAAAATAAATAAATATATATAATACTCCAACTATTTTAACACATTCCTTTGAAAAAAAAAAATTTTAATTTTGTTATTTATCAAAAATGAAAACAATGAAAATAACGAAATTACAACTTGGAAAATATGCCAATCAACAATCATTTTGTTTATATTTATTCCCCTCTTCACCTTCATCGGTAGTATCCTCACCAAAACAACAAAAGTACGGTCAAAACACATCCTCAAGAGCATTAACAACTACAACTACACCTACAACCATTTACCAACCTTTTTATAAATTAAGAGATATTGATATTATCTTTTTTGAGTCTTCGGTTGGTCATATATCAAATTCAGGAAAAATACCACAAATTTATTTCGACACACCTGGTTATTGTTTCTATGAACGTTCATCGGGGGAAATGTTTTTAGCAGCTTGTGCTCTCAGTGAAACTGCATCCAGATTAGGAAATCATTTATTAGTTGAATTTTGTAAATTAGGCAAACCTGAAATATTATCAGGAATGGCTGATCGACTGCTAGATAATGTTCCAATCTCTCGCGTCCTTCCCATCGAAGACGAATCTGAGCTTCTAACAATTACCGATCCAAATTCTATCAATCAAAATCATGCCAGTGTTAATCAAAAGGCACCGATCAGAGCAAATACCCCCACCACTAATATTGGCGCTAATTTAAATTATAATTCTATCAAAAGAAATTTAAGTCCTCCAATTTCAGGAAGAAAAAGAATGTCTGTTGAAGCAGTTCTAGATAACAATGACGATAAAAATATTACCAGAAGATATAATAATAGTATTAGTAATAGCAATAATAAAAACTCCACATTATCTTCGCCGGTCGAACATGCATTTCAACCTACTGAATCATCCGAAAGGTTCGTTATAATTAACAATAATAACAATAAAATCTTATTATCAATTATTAATTAATTAATAAAATCCTATTATCAATTTTTAATTAATTAATTATCAATTTAATTATTTTAGAGGGGTCTCTACCATGAACCAGCAAGTACCTTCTCCAACTTATTTTGGAATTGAAAATTCCAATCCCTCTTCTCCAAACTATTCTCCTCATTTACTTCATTCACCATCATCTCCTTCTCCCATAACTAATGAAATGATAGATGATGATGTAAGAATGAGAAAAAGAAGACGTGTAGCAGTAACAGCAATAGGTTCTAATAATATTAAAGTGACTAATAATCCTGAGGTAATGGAGCAAGTTAGGAATACTCTTAAATTAAAACAACAACAAAAGGCTATTATTGAAGCAAGGCAACAGCAACAACAAATATTGCAAAATAACAATGTTAACACCAACAACAGCAATAATAATAATAGCGTAATGAATAATTTAGATAAAAATAATAATTTATCGCTTTCAAAATTAAACAACAATAATAATTGTTCAAGATCGACATCTCAAAGTCCATCTTTAGATAGTAATAAGTCAAAAAGAAGCTCACGTAGTAAAAGTAATCGTAACTCAAGAAATCTTAGTGTAATTGCCCCTCCTTACGTTGAACCATCCAATTTTGCATCGTCAGCTCCACCCCATATAGGTTCTATTCGTGGCCTAAATTCTGCCGGTATTACAAAAAAAACACCTTTAACTGCACCGATAATCTCACTCAACAAGTCATCATCAATTACAAATACGACAACGACAAGAAACAATGTTTCTGGATATTCATTAGTATCTACTCCCAGATCCACTCCTACAGATACTAATAATAATAACTACAACAACATTAATAGTAACATTGATAATTCTAATCAAATCGCAACACATTCTGCTTCTACAAGTGCAAACATTAATGGCCTTATTTCTCCTCAAAATATTGATGACATTTCTCCTTCATCAAGTAGATCAGATACTCCAAGGACAGCAACTTCTAGTTCCTTTTCCTCTTCTAGCACGAGTCTTGTTTCTACAATTTATCTTAATAATCAAAATCTAGATCAAGATAAACAACAACAACAACAACAATCCAAAGAATCATTTATAAATCTTTTTGATACTTTTTATGACACAATAGCTGATTCTCATTCCTTGAAATCGACGCTTGAAGAACAAATTCATAAGACAACTGCTTTACTTCAAACTCTTCAAGCATCTGGTTCTATGATTGAAGGTTTAGTTCGTGGTCATTTTCATGAATTACAAAGAGAAGTTATTAAGGATTTGATGGCATTGGAAAAAAGAATAACTAGAGTAGAAGAATGCGTGAAGCAAAATTCGGTTGTTTCCGGAATGAATCCAAGTCCACCACTTGATCCTGAACGAAGGCTTAGCGATATTAGTAGTACAATGAATGATATGAATTATAATAACCAAAATCATAATGATAATAATAACGATAATGATAATAGTAATAATGGCAATGGTGGCACCAATAACAAGATTAATATTTATAACAATAACAACAACGACATCAATGATAATAATAAAAGTCCACCATTATCTTCTATTTCTTCAAACACTTGTGTTGATGAAAGTACAACACAAGCTAAAGATTATGAAGATTTATTAAGTACTTTAAAAGCTAGACTAGAATCTTTAGAAAGAAGAATGTCCGTTTCATAATATTTCTTCCTTTATATTTTATTAATTAATTGATTGATTAATTTATTTTAATTCATCATTCTCTTTTTTTACACTTAATTTTTTATTTTTTTCTGAAGATTTTTAAATATCTTCAATATACATATAATATACATATATACTTCAACTAATTTGTTTTTTACCATTCATTTTTTTGATTTTTTTTTGTAATTAAATCTCTTTATATTTAACATTTAATTATTTAATTAATTATTCATAAAATGATAGAAATCTATTCAAAAGATTTTAACTGGCTTAATATTTTATTTAGTTTCTATTTGTTTTACACATTTTTCACAAACATACACATTTGCACATTTATTTTATTTTATAAATACACTTCAATTTTGAATAATTGTAATTTATATATTATATATTTTGATTGTAATAAATATAAATTCATTGGTTCTTGTTATTATTTACACAAGCTCAAAATGGTTTTCCCACACACAGATCGCACAATTTATGTCAACCAACCCATATGATTGGTAAAAAATTCTTTCATAAGACTATATTCCAAAAAGAAACTAGTTTTGTCTTTTTTAGAAAGAACTACTGAAGTAATTCAGAGTTGGCCATGGTACTGGTCCATTGAGATCGGGGTGTGAGATGCCCTAATTAAATAACATAATGTCGATCAATAACAACAAAAATTCTATATCAGTCGCAGGACATTGCAGATCTACAGGGAGAATCTTTAGAAAGAAGAATGTCCGTTTCATAATATTTCTTCCTTTATATTTTATTAATTAATTGATTGATTAATTTATTTTAATTCATCATTCTCTTTTTTTACACTTAATTTTTTATTTTTTTCTGAAGATTTTTAAATATCTTCAATATACATATAATATACATATATACTTCAACTAATTTGTTTTTTACCATTCATTTTTTTGATTTTTTTTTGTAATTAAATCTCTTTATATTTAACATTTAATTATTTAATTAATTATTCATAAAATGATAGAAATCTATTCAAAAGATTTTAACTGGCTTAATATTTTATTTAGTTTCTATTTGTTTTACACATTTTTCACAAACATACACATTTGCACATTTATTTTATTTTATAAATACACTTCAATTTTGAATAATTGTAATTTATATATTATATATTTTGATTGTAATAAATATAAATTCATTGGTTCTTGTTATTATTTACACAAGCTCAAAATGGTTTTCCCACACACAGATCGCACAATTTATGTCAACCAACCCATATGATTGGTAAAAAATTCTTTCATAAGACTATATTCCAAAAAGAAACTAGTTTTGTCTTTTTTAGAAAGAACTACTGAAGTAATTCAGAGTTGGCCATGGTACTGGTCCATTGAGATCGGGGTGTGAGATGCCCTAATTAAATAACATAATGTCGATCAATAACAACAAAAATTCTATATCAGTCGCAGGACATTGCAGATCTACAGGGGGTCAAGCATTATGTAAAATCGAAGAAAAAAATCATTCTGGTATACACAAACCTACCCGATTTAACCAAGAATTATAAAAAATCAAAATATATGGAAAACCCTTTATTTTGACATATTTTTTTGCCAGGGTAAGCAAATAAGACTCGGAAGAAAATCTTAATGTGAAGTTAGTCTACCAGCTCTATAAGTTCTATAATATTAAGAAATTTGTATATGCGCAATTCAATCTTTGGACTTATTAATTAATGCAATAGTAAGTTCTAATTAAATATTTATTTTAGAATTTGTTTATAGAAAAGTATTCATTTTTTGAAACATTTTACCTTTTTTAAAATAAATTTCGTAAATATCTACACACTCCATTTTTATTGTTACACGCGATAAATTAATTATTTTTGCTACAAGTTATAAATTAAAATCAATATTAAATATTAAATAATAAACAATAAAAAATAAATACAACATAAATTAATTGGGATTTGGACAAAGAATATCTTTAAATGGGTCTTCTACATGTTGGCGAATTTTTGTATACAAATATTTTTTTCTATCATCTGTCAATGGAGCAACTTCAAGAATATTTAATTATCCATCAATATTAAAATTATTCTTTAGAAGTTTAAAAGGAATTTTTAACAACAGCTAAAAAGAATTAAAAAAGGGTGCTTCGAGCCACCAGATTTTTTGGTAACATAAACTTTTCCAATATCATCATTACTATTATTAAAATGAAAATGATGGTATTTTGTTATATTTGGTAAACTTCTATTAATATGCTCTATTGTTGAGTCATTTATAGCCTTTTCAACATGATAAACAGTATTTATGCATCTATTTCTATAAACTTTTTTGATTGATCCAAAAAATCCATCACAGATGAATTTAGTATGTCCAGGAATCATAAAATTTATATATATATTTTCATACCAGCCCAACATTATTAACCATGACCAAAACCAAAGTGATAAATTATTCTCATTTTGGCCTGGACAATTATCACATGTCACATATAAATCTTTTTCAACATGTTGAGTCTTTTAAGGAAATCAAAGTTATATTTAAAGTTGTGTTAGCCCCTTTTGATGTTCCTTCTGGCAATTCATCTTCACCTATAGTATAATTTAGTTGATAATGTTTACCTTCATTGGTTTTAGTACATATACCAAAGATACTTATTTTAAAAGGGGTTTTAAAATAAATTGAACCAACTTGTTGAGGAGAATATGGTGCAGGAACACTTTGAGCCCAATCATAGCAGATATGAGTTGATGTTAAATCATTTTTACATTTTTCAATGATTTTATTATAATGTCATCTTTCACAATTTGCAGCTGCAAGATGTTCATCAGATTTGAATTTTATTTCAACAGTTGCATCATTATTTTGATTTTTTTTTTTCAATCTAAAAGTTTCACAATTCTTGCATAGATCATTTGAAGCCTCTAAAAATTTAATATGTGGTGTTGGTTGATTCCAAAGTCTCCAAAAAATTGTAAATTTTATAATTTGTACAAATGCATTAACAAGACCATCCTCAAAGCATTTTTCATACTCATGAAAAAACTGAACTATAACTATTTTCAGCTCTTAGATAAATATATGGGTCTGAATTATCATGAAGTCTTATTGGAGATGGTAATCCATGTAGATCAGCATAGTTTAGTATAAAAATTTTCACACTTTCTGCTACTTCTTTCAAATTGAAAAACCATCAATTGTGTTTTAATAGAAAGATCTTTTTATTTTTTATCTAAGCTTTTAAATTCAAAATGCCTTTCAAAAAAGTTTCTGAAAACCTATTTTTTTCAAGGCAGCTTTGTGAATCATTTTTCTCACATTTACAAGGAGAACTTTGGAAGAAGGATTTTAAATCATCAATTACATCAATTACTAAATTATTTTTTTCATAATCTTTGAATTCTTCTAACTCTAATGAATTTTCTGATGTTGAATTAATTATAGACATGTTTTTAATAAAATTTTTTGAAGGTTCAATAAATTAAGATATCTTTAAAATAGAATTTATATATGAAAACTTATTCAATGATTTTTTATTTCAAAAACAAGAAAAAATTCACATTATTTATAAAAAATATTTTATAGAAATTTAAAAATAATCTTAGCTGTTATTATTAATATTAATCTTATATAAAAATTTCAATTGTTAAAGATATTTGGGAATTTTAAAATGCCAGTGGCTGGTTATGGTTTATATTCCCAAAATGCCAAATAGCTTAGTATCCAAAAATGACAATGGCTCATTGCAGTTATAACCATATAAATTTGTTATAACCAAAAGTGTCAACAAAAATCTAATTGTAAAGCAAAATGATTTCCAAAAATGGTAATTGAATTCCAAAAAAAGAAAAATATAGAAATGAAATGAATTTACACATGCAAACTCGATAAGTCGGTCACGCGATAAGTCGGTTTTGGCCTAACTCGGCCAAAATTTTCCGCCCCTTTTTTTTACTATTTAAAAAAATTCGATAAGTCGGTCAAACTATATAAAGTCGCGATAAGAGCTAAGTCGGTCAGTCACCTAGTCCGAGTATAATTAAATTAGTCGCGATAAGTCAGTTGCACGTGATATATTACGCACATGACTAAGTTTTCGAATTTTGATTGGTTGTTAGTTTTTGTTACACGGGACGAAAAAATAAAATTTATTTTTAACCATAGATTATATCCCTATGAAAAAAAAAACGACTAAAAGGTACTGAATATATACGTTATAAAACAGTATGAAACATATGGAATTCAAATAGTACAAAAAGTACGGAATTGGACACTTTTCCGTACTTTTCCGTACTGAAACAGTACTGAAATGGTGCTGAATTGGTACGGAATTGGTACGGAACCAGTACGTAATGGTACGGAACCAATACGGAAATTTACTAATTGAAATTCATTAAAAAATCTATTTGTAACTGTACTTTAGTTACTGAATCCATACTGAAATTACGTATTCAAAACGTATTTTATTACTGAAAAGGTGCTGAATCCATACTGAATTTACGTATTCAAAACATATTTTAATTACTGAAAAGGTGTTGAATCCATACTGAATTTACATATTCAAAACATATTTTAATTACTGAAAAGGTGATGAATCCATATTGAATTTACATATTCAAAACGTATTTTAATTACTGAAAAGGTGCTGAATACATACTGAATTTACATTTTCAAAATGTATTTTAATTACCGAAAAGGTGCTGAATTTACATATTCAAAACATATTTTAATTATTGAAAAGGTGCTGAATCCATACTGAATTTACATATTCAAAACATATTTTAATTACTGAAAAGGTGCTGAATCAATACTGAATTTATGTATTCAAAATGTATTTTAATTACTGAAAAAGTGCTGAATCCATACTGAAATTACATATTTAAAATGTAATTTAATTACTGAAATTAGCATATTTAAAATGTATTTTAATCACTGAAAAGTGTGCTGAGAATCATATAATTAATTACATATTCAAAAGATTTTATTTTTATTCAACATTGATATAATTATTATTTAAATGAAAAAAAAATTATATTAAAAATTATACATATTTAAAAGTTGTAAAAAAATCACATTAATTTTTTTTTGATTTTCTTGTGCTTTCCTTTCCTTTGCCTTTTTTGACTTGACCTGTTAATTTTTAAAAAAAAAATACCATGTAAATTTAATAAAATTAGAAGCACAATTGAAACTTATTATCTTCTATTAAAATATAAATTATATAAGCAAACATTGTTTTTCTTACTTCTTTTGCCAACATCTTCACCATCTTCTTTTGTACTTTTTTTTTCTTTTCCCATTTTTGATTTGATCTGTTAATTTGAAACAAAAAAAGATACCATGTAAATTTAATAATATAATTAAAATTCTATTAAAATATAAATTATATAACTAAGCAAATAAAAATAAACACTATTTTTATTACTTCTAGCAACATCATTTTGATCATTGCCATCATCATCAATATTAACATCATCTTGATCTTGGTCATCATCAACATAACAAATACTTGCTAATGAAGAAAATATAATAAATAATATTCTTATGTTAATTTGTTTGTTCTAATGAATATAATTAATGTAAATAATAAATAAAATGAATCAACAAATCTTGGTGTAATCAAATTCACATTACCACAAAAATTTAAATTTTTGCACAACTCAATTTTTGTGTCCTTAAATTTGTTGACTATAATACCTTTATTATTATAATTATTTACAAATAAATAAAAATAAATAAATACATTACCCATATTATTATCATTGATATTTCCATCATCATCATAATCATCATCAACAATATTATCATCTAGCAGTATAAATTAATATTAATTAATGTCAAATTAAAAATAATTATTATATTCATTATGAGCATTCAATTATATCTTACCTTTGTTTTTATTACTGCTATTACTACTAGTATGATTGCTATCACTACCACCACTAGTATTACTATCACTACTACCACTACCACTTGTCTTGTTAGGTTTTTTTCATTTTTGATAATCCCCTTAATTTGTAAAAAAAATTATTAGGGTGGGAAAGTTAAAATAATAAAAATATATTTAATTGCTTACTCTGATGCTGAATGTTTTTTTTATTAACTCTTTCAATAGCCAATTATTGCATCTACTTTAGCACCAGGTTTCCGACCATTGAACTAGAGATAATAATAAGATTAAAAAAATCATGTAACATAAATAATAAATAATAGTAAAAAACATATATACTCTATTAATAATTCTTCCAATTAATACAGGATTTTGATTTTTAAATGGCACATTAATTGGTGTGTTATAATATTTCATAATATCCTTAATCTCTATCTGTATAATCATTACATCAAATTAATTAATAATATTAAATAAATAGATTATATTTAACATATAATTACCAGATATATTTTGTAATCTCCTTTCATAATTTCTAAATTTTTACAAATGTCAGCTACTTTTATATAATTGAGATTGGCAGGTCTATAATTTTTAATCCAAAACTGTTCATTATTTTTCAATTGCTTTAAACAATAAAAAATAAAATTATTTTAAATGTTTTCAATAAAAAATTTATTACAGAATGTTATGATATAAAAATTACTTCAAGATTTAACTCCTTTTCTTTTTGTTTTAAAGAATTTCTTGCTGATAATAATTGATGTTGTAATTTAGTGGCCATATTTATTATTGTTATTATTGTTAAAATTTGTCTAATAATGATAATTGTGATATTAATATTAATATTAATTTTGATAAAAATTTTTGATTAACATCTTGATAAGTTTTTGATAAAGTAATGTAAAAATGTGTACTAATAATAATAATAATGATGATGATGATGATGATGATATTATTAAATTGGTTTGATAAAATGGTTATTGAAAAAATTTTTTTTTTGATAAAGATATTGTAAAAAAAGATTTATAATAATATTAGTTTCTTTTTTGACTTGTATCTTGGTAAAATAATTGATTTTCATGTTTGATAAAATAATTTCTTTGATTTGTGTCTTGTTAAAGTAGTTATTAGTTTTTTCTTTAACTGTGTCTATTCATGACTTGATAATTTCTTGGTAAAAATTTAAAAACTTGTGTATATAGTAGTAATAATAATAATAGTAATAATGATGATGATTATGGTTATGATGATAATGATGATTAGTTTTTTTACTTGTATTTTGATAGTTATTGATTTGTTTTTGATTTGCCTTTTGATTTGCATCTTAATAATTTTTAAAAAAACAATGTAAAAATAACTTTTTGATAAAAAAGCAATGTAAAGAAAATTTACATAGTAAGTAATAAGAATGATAGTGATAATTTTTTTTGATTCACATCATGGTGCCTTGGTAAACTTTTGACTCGCGTTATTGTAAAAATAAAATGATGCGTCACGAAAAGATAAATTTAGCCACAACATGATCACAAAAATCTGTAGATCATTAATTATAACACCGGTAAACTCGATAAATCGGACAAGTATTTATCAAGTTTACCTGTGTATTGAACAATTTGAATTTTTGAATTTTTTGAATACTGCAATGAAAAAAAAAATTGTCATTTATATATCCAAAAAAACAATCTCATGATAGGTGGAGCTGATTAATACAAATTTGACAAATGCCACATTTAGGGTGGGAATTAATTAATTTTTTAATAGTTTCCCACAGATCTATAGTAATATAACATAACAAAAATGTCAATGGTCCTGTTATAAAAAATCTAATTGATCTCCAAAAAGAATATATAAAACTATTGTATTGCTTAAATAATCATTAATCAATTTGCTTTTTTTGTAGTTTTTATTTGAATAAGATTATTCAAATTATTTGTTTTATTTGTTGTGAATTTTAGTATTTGAATTATGTTAAAAGTCATTCAAACAAATTTTTTAAATTTTTTGAATAAATTTTAATTCTTTAACTTGAATAAATTTGAATAAATTTTTTTAATTTTGAATTAATCCCATCTATTAGTCAGATGACATTTCACATATCACTAGTAAATTGTACATTCTTTGATCTCTTTGTAGAATTTTTAGCTATTTACTAAAAAAACAGAAAAGGATTACCTGTTGATAGCTATGCCTTCAATTCTTAATAATATTGCAACAAATTATTTTGTAATTTCAATAATAATAAGAAAAAATCACCATTTGGTTCTTAGAAATAATATTACATCATTGGGTTTGTGTATTCAAATGAGGCATGGATAATGGAAACAAGACAACTTATAGTTCCTTAGTAAATAATATAATTCTTTAATAAATTACTAACAAGCTTTGTTTCTAAGATTTTAATTCAACTAGAATAGTGAGCTTTGGATTAACTATTACCATCACCATAAAGACCAGCCTCATGGATGGATATATTTATGTCTAAGAAAGCTAAAGGTAATAACAATAATTTAATGAATTAAAGGACTCATTAAATTAATAAATGAATATTAATATATTTAATGTTGTATTTAATACAAATCAGTAAATAATTATTTTTTGTTATATGAGCCAAATCTGAAGTACAAGAATATATAACAATATTTCAGCAAACACATATATACATAAATCAGAGCAGAAGGTTATCTTAATAAAGTGTTATTTTCATTTCAATCAGCCCAATATTTTATTAATTAATCAAAATTTAAAAAATCAAGGAATTTTAACATGAGTGGTTGATGTTTTAAATTATTGATGATTTTTAAAGTCTGCATAATAACAATATGTGATTTGTGGGTACGATGAATAATAGAACTTTGGCTTTTGAATGAGTCTAAGATCACTAACTTAATCCAAAAATTGGCAGAACTACAAATTTTTGGATGCAAAAGATTAAAAAATCCAAGACAATTTTTTTATACATCAATGAATGATAATCATGTATAAGCATAATATATAGATTAAGAAGGTAAGATTACAAAAGATTTTATTTCAATCAATTGAATTTTTGTGAAGATAATAATGATTAATTGACTATATGGGTAATTTAGGCATAGATTGTTGAGATTTTAAATTGTTGTCAATCTTTAAAGTCTATATATTAACAATATACGATTTTTTTAGTATAATAAATGATGGAACATTAGCTTTCGAATGAATCTAAGATCGCCAAAATATCCTCAAAATTGGTAGAATTACAAATTTTTAAATTTTTGGATTGCAAAAGATTTAAAGGAACCCAAGACAATTTTTTTATACATCAATGAATGATAATCATATAAACATAATATATAGATTAAGAAGGTAAGATTACAAAAGATTTTATTTCAATCAATTGAATTTTGGTGAAGATAATAATGATTAATTGATTATACATGTAATTTAGGCATAGATTGTTGAGATTTTAAATTGTTGTCGATCTTTAAAGTCTATATATTAACAATATACGATTTTTTAGTATGACAAATTATCAAACTTTGGCTTTCAAATGAATTTAAGATTGTAAAATTCCTACAAGAATTGGCAGAATTACAAATTTTTAATTTTTAAATTTTTGGATTGCAAAAGATTTAGATCTCAAGACAATTTTTTTATACATCAATAAATGATAATCATGTATAAGCATAATATATAGATTAAGAAGGTAAGATTACAAAAAATTTTATCCAATCAATTGAATTTTGGTGAAGATTAAAATCAAATAATAATGATTAATTAATTGATTATATGAGTAATTTAGGTGTAGATTATTGATGTTTTAAATTGTTAACGATCTTTGAAGTTTACATATTAACAACATATGTTTTTAGTATGACGAATTATGGAACCTTGGCTTTCGAATGAATCTAAGATTGTAAAATTCCTACAAAAATTGGTGGAATTATGAATTTTTTAATTTTAAATTTTTGGATTGCAAAAGATCAAGACAATTTTTTTATACATTAATGAATGATAATCATGTATAAGCATAATATATATATTAAGAAGTAAGATCACAAAGGATTTTATTCCAATTAATTGAATTTGGTGAAGATTATTAAATTAATTGTTATTGAATGAGTAAATATTGGATTTTCTGGATAATATCCAAGAGATAAAATAGTATATGTTATTTTGTATTTCTTTAAGTTGGAAATTAAAGTTGCTTCAATAGTGGGATTGTTAGGATAGTTATGTACAAAAGTATGAGAGCATGTAGAAATCATAATATTTATATAATGTGTAATAGGTAATGATTGACCATAATAATTAATAAAATCAAATAGTTAGATATCCTGTTTGTTAAGCCTTTGCTGGGATTGAAACAGTGATCAGTGAATGTAGTTAGGATAATAATAATAAATTTTTATTTTTTTTTTCATATTTCTTTATTCAATTGTTTCCAATGATCTGCAAGTGTCCATATATTTATCTTTATATACATGAAATTAAAAACGTATCACTCACTCACATTCATTACATATGTTTTATATGCAATCAAAATGGACTGTACCTATTCCGTATGTTTTATGCTGAAACAAAAACGTACCCTTTCAGTATGTCATAAATTCTGTATGTTTTATGCAAAAACGTACCCTTTCAGTATGCCATAAATTCCATATGTTTTATGCTGAAACAAAAACGTACCCTTTCAGTATGTCATAAATTCCGTATGTTTTATGCGGAAACAAAAACGTACCCTTTCAGTATGTCACACATTCCATATGTTTTATGCGGAAACAAAAATGTACCCTTTCAGTATGTCATAAATTCTGTATGTTTTATGCTGAAACAAAAACGTACCCTTTCAGTATGTCATAAATTCCGTATGTTTTATGCTGAAACAAAAACGTACCCTTGTGTTAAATTTTAAAAAGTGCAAACTTTTCAAACCGTATAATAAATACGTTAATTCCGTATTTATTTTTTTAGAACGTACTTTACGTACGGAAATTCCGTATGTTATTTTTTATAGGGAAGTAGTGAAGTAAGAGGTGATGCAATACTGGAAAAATTTTTAACAAACTTGCGACAATAGTTGGCAAGTCCCAAGAATGATCTAACTTCTGAAACATTTGTAGTTGCTGGCCAATCTTTAATAGCCGCTGTTTTTCTTGTGTCAACAGCAATTCCTTCAGCAGAAATATAATGACCCAAAT